AACATTGTTTCCATTATCACAACAGCATCTGCATTAGCAGAATGACACGCCTGGATTCTGCAGCCCCATGAAGCAAGATGAACTGAGGGGGAGTGACTGGCCCAATATTTATTTGTTTACCATAATGTTCTCTCATTCTCACTCTCAGTAAAGTTTCCAGAGCAATTAACAGTAGAGGGAGACAGAGAAAATGCAGCCCGCCAGTACCAACTCGGCTACCCTTTCAGCACCCACTCTGCAGAGGCATTTAGCCGTTCTAAATAGCACAAGGGGTGTTGTGTCTGCTGATTTATTTGGACTTAACTTGTCTTAATTGTTTTAAGTTGTTTAAAATTTGATTTTAAGTCCCTAAGGAAATGTTATGATGTTCTATTATTTTATTTGTTTCATATTGTACTGTATGAATTGTACACCACCCAGAGAGCTTCAGTTACTGGGCTATATAGAAATTAAATAAATAAAAGGAATGACTAAAATTATTTAAAATTAAGTGATTCCAACATACCCATGGCTGGTCATTCAAGAGAAGTATGTTTAAATAAAGATGCCTTTAGATGCAGAAAACAAAGCTGTGTTGGCACTCGTTGAATGAGGATTTGAGTTAGGGTTTGAGCCAGGGTCTCCTTGGTCAAGGGTCAGAGTCCTCTTCTCCACTATAGCTCATTGCTCTTCCCATACTTCCAGGAGGTGGCAGGGTTGAGACAGCACTAGTGCCATGGTCAAGGCGGACTCCCCCGTGTCATTGCCCTCCTCCTTCAAACAGCACTCAGGCACAATATTGCCCCAGCTCCTGTGTGTGTAGGACACTCTCTTAAATCAGCCCAGACAACCTCTCCATAGAGCCAAGCACTGTTGTCTCTGCTCTGGCAGGCAGTGACTCTCGGGAACAGGTCTTTCCCATCATCCACTCTGTAGTCTTAATTGAACTGGTGGCATTTGGGACCTTTGCTACGCAGACCCTTGTGCTTACCAGTGAGCTCTGGTCCCACCCACACACATGCCTTCACTTTGACACCTACACATAAATCCTACAGAGTTTTCCCCAGAGATGATGTTTCAAGAACCTAGTCATGATTTCTTTGCAATGTTCCTCACCTGGACAAAGTGATGCCATGCACAATCCACTCAGTTTTCCTTTCCCACTATGAATCTCTTTACCCAACCTGAATGAACATTCATTTCTCCTTGACCCTTTCTGTGGGACTTATTTAGCACATGTTCTCCAGTCCATGCTAATACATTAAAGCAGGGATCCCCTTCTGCCACGGCAAACGCAGGGAACTCCCACAGTACCCATGAAGCCATCTACTCTTTGCCCTTCCCAAAAAATGTTTTTCAGCCAAAAAACAAACAAACAAAACCTTGAAAAGGCACTGGGATAGCAGGTTTTCCTTCCCATTCCTGAATCTACCATTAATCAACTGTTAGGGAACAGAAAGAGAAGGAAAGAGCCACTTCCTGATTCCACCCAACTAATTCCATCCATGTAAATCTTGCCCATGAATGTCACTGGGTAACTTTTGGCCAGTCTCTGACTCTCAATCTAACATACCCCACAGGGTTCCCGGGAGGATAACATAGAAAGAAGGAAGAGAATCGGGTTGCTTGCAAGAAAAAAATGTGGGAGGTTAACATAATAAGAACGATTTCATCTCTTTGTTTCTTTCCCTTTCCAGTCTTCAGCCTTGCTATTTCTCCACCCCTGCCCCTCCACTGCTTTAATTCATTTTTGATACATCAGGTTCCCACAGCCACATCTTCCATGGGAACCATTTTGTGATGAACCCCAGAGCAGTTTCTCAAATTCCCAAATCTGCCCATGGGCCTGAAAAGGCTGGGGACGCCTGCAGAAGCATGACAAACACACTACTTGGTCCTTTCTTCCTAGGGCAATTATAGCATTTGCACCCTCAGGGGGGCAGGCCAGCTCTGGATATCACACCAAGGAGAACCCGCTGCAAATTCTGACCAGGCCCCTTTTCTGGACCACTTTACAACTTTGTCTGAAAAAGGATATGTCATATTTTATAAACATCTACATAAGCAGCTCTCTGCATTAAGTATTAACCAGATTACTCCCCAATAAGTAACACCTACTTCTAGGAGTTAGGGATACAGCACGGAAAATTTCGTACTACACGCTACATTTGCAGTGTGAAGGACAAAGTTGGCACATGATGCTTATAGCCCAGTGAAGTCAAAACATTTCCAGAGAAGCAGGCTCTCACTCTGAAGACAGTGCAAGGCAGTAACAGGAGGATGACCAAAGAGGGCTTCTGGCATGCACACATTCATTCATTCATTCATGGAGTCATCCAATTCTTATACCACCCAATAGCCAAACTTCTCTGAGCAGTACAAAACATGATAAACACAATACAAAACCTTGACTATACAAACTTTGATAACGGATCAAACATTTAAAAGCAATAATTATGATTTCCAAAGTAAGCATTAAAAAGCTCCATTGTACACACCCAAGCCCTTGAAAGTGGATGCAATGCTTAAGCTGGTGCTAAAAAGATGGTGTCAGATGGGACTTCCTTGGGGACAGCATTCCACAACCAGGGGCCACCACTGGGAAAGCCCTCGCTGTCGTTGCCCATCCTCCAAGCCTCCCTTGGACAAAGCACCCAGAGGAGGGCCTGAGACATCAATCATCACGTATAGTCAGGGTCGTATCAGGAGAGGCACACTTTCAAGTATCGTGGTCCCAAGCACATGCTAATCCTACCTCCTTCAGTTGTACATTACTCTTCCACCTAATACGGTCACCCCCTAGTACCTGCACTTTGATGTTGCTGTACTTTAACCACAGGAGTCTAGTTCAGTATTATCAGCTTCCATCTTTTAAAAAATCATACATTACGCTTTCCTTTTAAAACGTTTGCCAGAGAAAAACTGTTTTCCCTCATCATATTACATTATATCCATATTGCCACATATCTGCGGTTTTTTATAAACCGGTGCACAGGCGGCCTATGAGATTTGCACTGTGCATTGGGTTCGTTGCCTGCCATTTAGATCCTTAGTGTGCACCCTCAGTGTGCAATCAGAGTCATACAATTTGGGTGACAGAAGTATGATCTCATGAGCATGTTTGCTATGGGCACATCTCCATGGTGCTCAGGGTGTACCCCACTGTACAGTAGTATCCCATTGTTTTGTGACACGGTGCATCCACCAACCTCTCACATCACATTGTAAGTATGTAGATAGTTCTATTATGGTGTTAATCTATACAAAGCATATATATGGAAGAATACAGTTGGTTCATTTACCATTCCTGAAGGAGATAAAAGATCACCCTGTTTACACATGCATGCCCACCGGCAGGCATCCATACTTCCTACTCCAAGTCTGCTTGGATATAACCAATATAAACAGTACCCCAAATGGCAGTGCACCATCTAAACCATAGGACAACCCCCCTTTACAGAATTATAGTTCTAAAACTGGTTCCTGGGTATTGCTCTTCCTTACAACACTAACAATGAACCTCTCAGAAGCAAGTATTTTTCCTCCGTTCTGTACCAGAAGCAACAGTTTGAACTCCTCTTGTACAACTTCAATTGTGCTTCATTTCTGCATATTAAGAAATCATTAGGTTATCATGGTTCCTAAGTACATGTTCTCCACAAGTGTTTTATCTCCTTAGTTTCAGTGTCACATTTAGTTGTTTCTTTGTTTTGTTTTATAGTCCTTAGCTGTTTGCTAAAGAGAATGTTTGCTAAATGAAAGGCCAATATAGAATCACTGAGACTCCGACTGAATTTTTGTGGTATTAGGGTAAAATAAATCATTAGCCATTTGAAGACAGTATTGTTGAAAGAATGGGACACCCAGAGGTTTTGAAGATGGCAAAACTATCTTTCATGATGCACCATATTCCCAACACATGAAAGAACATTATATTTGGATATGTTTTCAGTACTTCTAAAAGACTATCTTGCAAAAGCGATATGGTCCCAATTTCTCCACCAAATAACAATCATCAGTTCAGCAAAGTCTGTGATTGCTGTTTTGAAAACTAACACAAACATAAGACTGAATCAGCAACACAAGGATAACAACAATGACGACAACAACAGCAACAGCAACAAGGTTTTCACTCTGAATGACACAACGCCCATGTCCAATGTTAGCTCTGCCCTATGCCATGCCAAGTTGAAACAAAGTTTATCTTTGTAGAATATGACCTACAAATAAAGATCAAGCATGTCTCTGAACTTAAAAGGGGGCTTCTCTAGTCCTCCTCCAACGAAGCGGAGCTCACAAGAAATTCTGCAAGTGAATCAACTTGACTTTCCCTTGCCTACACCTCTTACAAAGGAGTGTATCCCTTGCTTTGGAAAGAACTAGCAGGGATATAATTGAGCAAACTCCATCATCAGAACAGCTGGGAGAGGACTTGCCGTTTTGTTTGAAAGCCGCCCAGAAACGCATAGTGATCGGACGGGTTAGAAATATCCCAAATAAAATAAATAAATAAATAAATAAAATAAACTACAGGGTTGTCTGTACTTTATCTTTGCTTTTACTGTGCTCCTCAGTGGAGTGAGCCCTGGGTGCCTGCGAGGCTTTGGAGGTGCAGCCCTCTTCCTCTTCTCTCCCTCTAGGGTCTGAGTCTGCATTTGCATGCTTGTTCTGGGCCTGCTGCATGGAAGTGTGTGCTCCCTTGCCTTCCTTCTGTCAAAAGTTATCAAGTTTTGGAGGGTTCCACTCCCTGCCTCCTTCCCTTTGTCTTTCTCTCCAGTCTTCTCAACAGACACAAAGAAATGCAACGCCCCAGGAGGAAAAAGATGAGCCCGGTACTGCCATGTGGAGGGACTTCCCAGCTGGGGTAGGAGATCAGGGTGGGAAAGTGCCAGGTGGGCTGGTGGCTGGGGTGGGGTGGATCGGGCAGGACTGGGGAGCGGACTTCTGCTGAGAAGGCGTGAGGATGCTCGCTCACACCACTAGGCAGTGCCCCCGTCCGTGCCTCACACGCGCTCACTCACCTGCTCCGGGCCCTGAAAGCAGATCCTGCAGAGAGGGGTCCGCATCCCACTGTCCAAACTGCTTCCCAGCGAATAGCGATCCTCCGCCTTTCCCTTGCAGAAGTCGTCGGAGGAGGCGCTGCTCGTCGCAGACATGGGCTGCTCCGCCTCTCCCCCAGGGCTGCCCCACTCTTCCTCCGGAGGGCTCGTGGCCCCCACTCCGCCGCCTCCGCCCCCACCCCCGGCAGTCGGCGCTCTCCAAGGCCCCCGTGGCCCTCCATACAGCGCAGTCAGCGTGTTGTTATTCGAAGCCTGCAAGCCCAAGGCTTGGTCTCCACCGTTCATGGGAGGGAGCGGCGGCGGCGAGGGCGGAGGGGGCGCAGGGGGTCTCCGCAGGAGGAAGACCTTCAGGTCATTGAACAGCATGCGGCAGCGGCACTTGAGGAGACCCTGGTGGCGCAACATCTGTCTGGGGAGCAGCAGTCCGTAGCAACAGTACCATAAAACGATCGCACTAGTTGGTATTAACATGTGCCTTCCCTTCCAGACAGGCACGGGTGGGAAAATGTAGACCGGCAGGGGGCGCCCAACAACAGGAGGGCTGGGTTGGCTAATTTCCGTTTCCTTTTCCTGGCTTCCACCCAGCAGTCATTGAGAACTTGGTTTAAAAACAACTGTGGAATTTGCAGGAAGATCTTCTTGATATTTCACAGCAGCCCCGTGAAGAAGAACACAAGAGCAAAAAACAAAAACAAGAAACAAGAAAAACCAACAGCAACCCTCTCACAACAATAGAGGGGGTTGCTTTTTCTCTTCTGTTGACAAAGTATTGACTTTTCGACCTCCTCCGCCTCCTTTTCACAGCTCCTGTTTATTTTTAGGAATAATTAAACATTTTTTGTTTTTCTTTTCTTTTTTTTAGAAAAAATGTTAAAATAAAGTTGTAATTGAAAGAAGCTTTCTACCCCCAATGTACTGGGTGGGCTACTTCAGAAGAACAATGTGGTGTGAACTGGCAACTCCAAGAAGGAGAAAGTGGGGGAATTCAAGTCACCAGAAGGTGTAGAGGAAGAAAGAAAGAAAGAATACACACACACGCACGCACACGCACATATAAACATATATGGTTCTTTCAACAGTATTTGGCATGTCAAGTACTTCTCCTTATTACTTTTTTATTTAGTTGGAACCTTTTAAAAATGTGCTTCTGGCAGAATAGCAGTAGAACAGATAGTTAATAAAATGCAAAATTGGTTCTTGTTGCTATCGTCCTTGTCATTATTAATAGTGATATCAAAATTTAATTTCAAAGATGCATATATTTCTTGGAGAGAAGGGAAAACACACCCTCAATGTTAAATCCTCGCAGGTTACTTGAAATGGTGCTTTATTAAAATATTCTCCATAGAAATATTCAAAGTTCTGAAAGGTAGTGAGCATTAATGAGGTTAATTCTGATTCCCAAATTCGCTGGGATTTTGTTTTACCTCTCTCCTTCCAGGAACTGTCTGGACCTCACACAAGCATTAGAAAAAAATTAAAAAATAAAGGAGGGGGGTATCGGAGAAGGACGTGGATCATAGTTATTCCTCAAATTGTTTCCCCTCCTGGATTTCACAAATAGATAGATAGATAGATCCGCAAAAATCTGGTCTATCCTTTCCCACGAAATTAACTAAGGAAACGTGGATCTTACATTGTCACGTTTCCTTTCCCCCTTTCACAAAACCGGGACGTCATCAAACGCATCGACAGCCTGTACAGACCATTGTGGCTGACGCGGAGGAAAAGGTGCGTTCAGCAAAAGCAGGGATCTCCTTTTGATGCATACGGTTCCTTCCTTTCCGCCGCTACAACCATCTCCCGTTTCATCTGCCACTTTCCCCGTCCTCCTCCTCCTCCTCCTCCTTCTCCTCCTCCTCCTCCTCTTTCTCTGATGGTTGTTTTCGCTCAATGGCATTGACGCTCAACCATGGCAATCTTTAAAATAAAAGAGGATGGGGGGAAAGAAAAACCCCGAACCAAACCAAAAGAGCCCGGACGAATATCGTATCCTCGCCTTTGAGAGGGATGGTGGCGTTAAAAGGGGAGAAAGAGAGAGCGGGGAAGAGAGAGAGAGAGACGGGGCGGGGGGAGGAGAAGACCGCGGCTTGGAAGAAAGACGATGCGCCAGACCAAAACCAGGACGACAACAGGGGGTGTTATTTTGCTTGCAGCTCCCACCGTCTGGGCAGCGTTCGGCTTCTCCCTTTCGGCAGCCTCCGCTCGGCTCTCCCATCCGGCTTTCGGTGATGATGTGGCTGTTGCTACCTCCTTGGGATGCAATGGGAAAGGAGGATAGTTTTGCAGTGCAAATGGGGATGTCGAGGAAGGGCGGGAGCGAGCGAGCGAGCGAGCCAGCGAGGGTGGGTGGAACGTGATCCTCTCTCTCTCCTCCTGCTCCTGCTCCTGCTCCCGAGTCCTTAAATAAATAAAGCCAAGACAGAAAGGCGGGGCGTTGGGGGGGGGGGCGAGAGGGAGGAAGATAAATTCAGGTTGTTGTCCAGCCTTGCTTTCTCTCCGCCTCCAATGTCGACAAGTGCTGTCAATAAACCTTTGGGCTGGGAAGCGCGCGTGTGCGCGTGTGTCGAGGGCGTGGAAGGGGGAGAATTCTTGCTTAGCTCGAAAATGTGCCTGGGAACGGGTCCGAGCTGCAGCACTTTCAGCACCAGCAGCCTCTGGACAGCTCCCCGCCTAACTTGGCTCGCCGGGCTACCGGAAGCCTGCTTGCCGGCAGCGCCGGGGAGCTGAGCAGGAAGGGTGTGCAAGCGAGGCGGGCACACTCAGCGGCACTGAACGGGCAGCTGCCTACCATGTTAGCTTCCATCCTCCTGCACGCAGAGCAATCTACCTTCTTAGTTCCTGAGAATATTATGTGCATATGGTGAGGTTATTGTTTCCATCCTGTGCTGGTGCCAGTCTGTGGAAGAGAGGGCAGTGACTGTGTAGACCGCTGAATTTTCAGGCACTGGAGACGGTGTGCATCTCTGCATCTGTTTGTGTATGGTGGTGGGAGGTCTGCCTGCCTGCCTGCCTGCCTGTCTATCCGTGTCTGGTTTCAGCGTGGATATAGAAGGTGGATCACACTACTAACATTTCCCCTTCATGTGTATATGTGCGTGCACTGTACGTGCAGTGGAGGCTGTGCTTCCAAGCACAGTGTGTATCCACTCCGAGCTGTAGTTGCGAGCAGCAATCTTTGGTGCTGAAACTACTATTCTGGGGGGGGTTGGGCGGGGGGGGGGGTGTTCAACGCCATGGACAGTTTCTTTAAAGTTCTGCCTGTGGCCCCGAATCAACAGACCTCCACGAGGCTCCACTGCTATACGAGCACATTCCCTGTGTATGGCTATTTATGTGTAGATGTATGTGTGTTTGTGGCACAGTGTTCCTTTTACCTTTTTGAAACTATGTTTACCAATGTGTGCATATACATCTGTGTCTGTATCTATGTATGTATGAGAAGCACGCTTCCTTTGTGTGTATCTGGGGAAGCTGTGATTGTCGGAACTGATCTCTCAGCTGTTATCACCCTTTTATGTATATCTGGTGATCTGGTACCCCTGTTTTTGCCTGTGCTGGATTGTTTTGCAAGTTTTTCTATTAGTTTCTCTGTGTCCTTACTATGCAGGCACACGTGCAGCAGGTATCTGGGGGGGGGGGGGGGGCTAACTGAATTTGTTTTGCAGTTTTGAGATGCTGTGTTTGCGTCCGTGCTAATGTGCTAACCCCTGTGTGCATGATTGCACATCTCTGCATACCTGCTCTCATTTATTTGTGTATATATGGCTCAAACTGAGCGCAAGTTTCTCTGTAGAATATTAGGGCTCTTACCCCTTCCCTGTCAAAATGTGTGCATCACCAGCTCCATACTTATGATCCTATATTTATGTCCATGTGGTTTTATTCTTGTGTCTCCTGTTTTCATTAGCAGTATTCTTAAAACCATATTTCCTCATGAAATACTTACCCTAGCGCAGCCTCCAAGAACAACAACCACGGAACATCACCATGGTTCCCCCCCCCCCCAAATGGGAAATACTAAAACATTTTTTTCCATGAAGGCAGCTAAAAAATAGGTTATTAAATAAATCCTCCTAGAGAAGATTAGTTACTGGGCAGATTAGAAATGGGACAAATAAATTAATTAATAAACACAGCACTCCTTGTTTTAGCACAATAAACAGTCCATTCTGTTCCCTGGGTTTCTTTCATTATTTTGCTTCTCACTTTGCCAGACCTGGAAAATGAGTGGTAATTTTAGGGTACAGAGCAAACCCTGCAGAATTTAAATTCTAGATTAAATGTGTCATCCTGTATCCAATTCAGAGGATATCAAAAGGGTTGGGTAGGAAATAAGAATCCTCTGACAAAGCTTTGCTCTGCAGATTAATTAGCTGAAGAAGAACGCATAGTTTAACAGGTCAATCTTATTTCATTTAATGACAGCAAATACTTTGCTCATTAATACATGTGCTTTGTCCTGCAGTGTGGTTCTTTTAAATAAATTTCATTATCACCAATTCTGATTCCCTGCTTTCTGTGGAAATGTGAATATATGTAAGAAAGAGAAATAGATATATTTCTATAAGGGAATGTATGAAAGTAGCATAATGGCAGCAAAGTTTTATACACATATACACCATGAATCTAACCTAAAATCTGCAGAATTCAAAGTAAGATTTAAAAAAATCCATCTAAAAAAGAGTCAGGAGCTAAGAGACGACATCAGAGCAGCCAGCAGCTGTCTATAAAAAAAAATCTGCTTCAATAAAACTATCTTCAGTGCCCACTCAAAATGAGCTGGTGTAGAGGTGAGACACACCTCCTCACTCTGTAACCTGGGCACTCTCCTTGCAAAGGTTGCAAACCTTGCACTCTCCTTGGGCAGCCATGCACTGAAGCTCAGGCAATGGGGGAGAATGAAGACGATTCTCTGAAATAGGCGAAAAGGGTCTTAGGCTCATACTGGGGTGGGTGAAGGGTGAGGGAATGTGCTTCTTGAGATATTCTGGTCCCAACCATCTAGGACTTTAAAGATCACAGCCATCTCCTTGAAGAGAGCACGGGAGAGAACTTGTAACCAATGAAGCCAAGAGTATTGGTGTAATGTCTGAATAGACAGCTGGTGCAAAGAAGCTTCACAGCTGCATTGTAGACCTACTGCAGTTACTAGCTTGCTTTCGAGGGCAGTTTCACATAATGCACATTATAGTCACCATACCCGAATGACTGAGGCCATGTCTGCTCTCTCTCCAAGAAAGAGCACAACCGGAGCATTAGCAAGAATTGATTAAAAATACTCCTGGCCACTGCCATCACCTGGGCACCCTGCATGAAGAGTGCAACCCTGTTTAGTAGAATCCCCACGCAGAGCTGCCATCTTACGTGGATTACGTCTGAACCTTTTCACCCTCATCCAGGCCCAAACCACTGGCACTCACTGATTCTAACCAGTGTCTCCCCTGTTCTAAAAGCATTGCATTTTAGCT